AAGACAGCTAAATGTAAAACCTCAAACCATAAGAACCTTAGAAAAGGAAGGAAATACTCTCATGGAAATCGGAACTGGCATCCAATTCCTGAACAAAACCCAAAACTCACAGCTCATAAGAGAGAAAATAGACAAGTGGGATCTTATTAAACTGACAAGCTTCTGCAAAGCCAAAGAAACCATCAAGAGAGCAGGGAGACAGCCTACAGACTGGGAAAAAGTATTTGCCAACTCCAGGTCCGACAAAGGCTTAACATCCTGGATCTACAAGGAACTCAAACGTGCTGAAAAGAAAAAACAAACAACCCCATTATAAAATGGGCAAAAGATATGAACAGACACTTCACAAAGGAAGACATCTGAGCAGCCAACAAACATATGAAGAAATGTTCAACCTCGCTAATCATCAGGGAGATGCAAATCAAAACCACACTGAGATACTACCTAACCCCAGTCAGAATGGCAATTATCAACAAGTCAAAAAATAACAGCTGCTGGAGAGGGTGTGGTGAAAAGGGAACACTTCTACACTGTTGGTGGGAGTGTAAACTAGTGCAACCTCTGTGGAAAGCAGTGTGGCGATTCCTAAAAGCTCTAAAAATTGACCTTCCATATGACCCTGCAATCCCCCTACTGGGAATATACCCTGAAGAACACAAATCACTCTATAAAAAAGATACCTGCACACGTATGTTTATCGCAGCATTGTTCACAATAGCAAGAACCTGGAAACAACCATGCTGCCCATCAAAAGAGGACTGGATTAAAAAAATGTGGTACATATACACGATGGAATACTATGCAGCCATAAAAAAGAACAAAATCATGAATTTCGCAGCAACCTGGATGGAACTAGAGTCTATAATACTGAGTGACCTCTCACAGAAACAAAGATCCGAATATCACATGTTCTCACTCATATAATGGACCTTAAACATCCAATGCAATACTATACGAAAATGACTGACCGTACTGGGAAACTATGGTGGGGGGAGGGAGATGGGATTAACAGTAGCAAATATCTGTCTGGGAACGGGGAAACACCCCATATCAACAGGGTGCCTGAATGAAACACAATTGTATACCTAACCCTTAACTGTACCCCACAACTTCATAATAAAAAAAAAAAGAAAAAAAAAGTTGTAAGAAATGTCAAACTCCATTTCTTAATACACAAAAATAGTCATTTTCCTCAACCCCAAATAAATTCAGAAATGCACCAGCTTCTATTGGTTTTTTAAAATGATCTGCTTACAGCAACTTTCGTCATTTGATATATTATGAATATAATCAGTTTTATTTTTAAAAGAATATTCAAGCTGAAAAACATATTCTTAAACAACCAGTCAGGCACAGTGGCTCACATCAGCAGTACCATTATGTGGGATACTGAAGTGGGAGGATCATTCAAGTCCAAGAGTTTGAGGCTACGGTGAGCTATGATCGTACCACTGTACTCCAGCCTGGGAAACAGGGCAAGATCACGTTTAAAAAAAAAAAAAAAAACAGGCATCACCTTGGGTCCCATCCCACTGTGGGAGTTTTTCTGTTCTCTTAAGAAATCCTGCTTTCAGGGGAAAAAAATGGAAAGCTGACATTATAATGAAGCATAGAGCACTAAGGATAATATGTTACTATAATGTTCAAGCTAGTCTAGTAATGCTACTTGGTAATATGCAAATAAAATGCCAAGTTTTAATCGAAAACTGACTTTCTTCTACCTTTTTGTTTTTTTTTTTGAGTCAAGGTCTCATTCTGATGCCCAGGCTGGAGTGCAGTGGCATGATCATGGTTCACTGCAGCCCTGACCTCCTGGGCTCAGGCAATTCTTTCACCTCAGCTTTCCAAGTAGCTAGAACTACAGGCATGTGCCACCATACTCACCTCATTTTCTGATTTTTTTGTAGAGACAAGATCTCACTATGTTGCCTACACTGGTCTTGAACGCCTGGGCTCAAACTATCCTTCTGCCTCAGCTTCCCAAAGGGCTGGAATTACAGGCGTGAGACACCACACCCAGCCTTTTTCTACCACTATTTAATCCAAGCAAATAAAACCCTTTACTAGGTGCAATACATTTATTTAAATTTATCCCAGCAAAATTGTTTTGATCTTTGAATCCTATTTCTCTCTCTAATGAGCCTCTAGACTGAATAGCGGTTTGGGCAAATGTCACCTATGGCCCAAAAGTTGCCAATTGGCTTACTTGTACATAAAATTGTACTGGGACATACTCTCATCATTTTTTTTTTTTTTGCCTTCAATGGTGGCAGTCTACTAGTTGTGACAGAAATCTGATGGCCCTCAAGCCAAAAATATCGATTATCTGGTCCTTTTGAGAAGTTTGTCAACCCCTGCTCTAGACTGCTTAGACAATAACTCTGGCTATAGTATTCATAATTAAATCTGCAATGTTAGCACAGTGCCCAGCACACAGGACAGGGGAGGGTTTCTTAAGTACTAAAAATATCTGGTTGATTTCAGATGTACCGCTTAATGAATGACAGACTCACCCATAGAAGATGGCCAGGATTTAAGGTGAGTGAAATTCTAACACAAACTTTTTATTACATGAGTATTTCACAGTATTCTTGCACAATGAACACTATGAATTTGCTTTATTTTGCTTTTTTTAATGGATGGGGAAGATGCCGAGCAAAGATGAAAACTGTAGCCATATCAATGCTGTAAGATAAACATAACGCAAACGTTCTTCTACTAAGACTAACAGTAAAAGTTTCTTAGTGAAAGGGTAAAGGAGGTATTAAGACACAAAACAAAAACAGAAAGATGTGTGGGTAAAAAGAATGATTGTGGTCCAGTACATATGTTTAGTTTTCTAAGCCCCCTTCTTAAAATACCTCTAGGACCCATAATGACCCACTGTTCCAGAGAGATCAAATTAGTTAATGGCAGAGCAGAGACAGAATAAGTGATTTTTATGCTCATCTTAGTGTTCCTATAATTATAACTTGATAATACCAGTTAAATTTCTGAAAATTGTAGTGGTTTCAGTAAACCACTACATTCTTTTGTACAACACGTGACTTCCTAATGATATGAATAGTAACCTTGAGCAATCTTCTTACTTTCTGAATTGTACCTCAGGATTGCCCTGTATCCAGTTTTTCAAATTAATGCACAATCAGGTGGCTTCAGGATCTTAAGAACTGTCCTTTAGGCCAGGTGCAATGGCTCACACCTGTAATCCCAGCACTTTGGGAGGTATACGCGAGAGAATTGCCTGAGCCCAGTGGTTCAAGACCAGCTTGGGCAACTTGGCAAGACCTTACTTCTACAAAAAATAAATAAAATTTAAAAATTGGCCAGGCATGGTGGCACATGCCTGTGATTCCAGCTACATGGAAAGTTAAGGTAGAAGGACTGTCTGAGCCAGCAGGTCGGAGGCTGTGGTGGCTGTGAACATGCCACTGCACCCCAGCCTGGGGGACAGTGAGACTCCAACTTCAAAAAAAAAAAAAAAAGAGAGAGAGAACTGTCCTCTATTTGAAAAAAATGTCAGCAACTCTGGAAATTAAAATAACAGCTTTTATCCTGAGCTCAAAGAGAAATTATCTAAGAATACTAAAATGACTAAGTGATACAGCTCAGAAGTAAACGAGCAATATTAACTGAAGGCATGCGACTGGTCTTGCACACACATGAGAGATAGTTCAGGCCAGGCTCGGTTGCTCAGCCTGTAATCCCATGCCTTGGGAGGCCGAGGTGAGTGAATTGCCTGAGCCCACAGGTTCGAGACCCGCCTGGGCAACTTGGCGAGACCTCATCTCGACAATAAATCAAAAAATTAGCCAGGTATGGTAGCGTGTGCCTGTAGTTCCAGCTACCTGGAAGGCTGAGGCGGAAGGATCGCCAGAGCCCAGCAAGTCGAGGCTGTGGTGGCCAGGAGCATGCCACTACACTCCAGTCTGGGCGACAGAGTGAGACTCCAGCTCAAAAAAAAAAAAAAAAAAGAGACATAGTTCTAAGGGAAAAAGGTATTGGCATAATAGAAATAAATTTTATAAGCAATTTTTATCAGTGTTCTTTCAAAATCATGTTCCTTTTCTAGATTTCCTTTCTGAAGATGAATTTTAAAAAAACAGTATTTTAAAAATGAAGCTTCCTCCTGCATAATTCATCTGTCTTTTTCCAATCTGTCTTGCTCCACACTCTCTGATGACGTCAAAGTCAGGATGGTTCATACCATTTGCTTGTGGAATAATTTGGAATGTCACAACAACTGATTGTGAAATAGTAAGAAATAATGACAAAAACAGAGCACATTAAAAAACAATTTCCTAATTCAAAGTTCATGGCTGGGTGGTCATTTGTTCTGAAATGGAAAAGCCCATGGCAAGGGGGTGCAACTTAGAGAAAGCACCTGAGGACTGTATTATCCAGGGTTCAGTCAACATCTTTTGCTCACCATCTTAGAGCACATCTGTCCTTCATTGCATTGGCCATGCCTTTCAAAGACTAAGTTTGCATTACAACTGTATCGGAAATTCAATGACTTTGTTCTACAATAGGTTCCTGTGCATTTTTCTTACTCTCTCTGGAAAGGCTTAGGTGCCATGTTCATTATCTTTCAAAGATGCTCTTTTAAGATCTAACAAAGAGTTATGATGAGAGAATTATAAATTTGGAGTGTCACATTCTTGGAGATATGTAAAGCAGGGGGAATTGGAAGAAACAGACAGTTGACCGCTTTCAAACATGGAAGAACCTGGAGTCCCACAAAAATTGTCTAAGACATATACTCAGACACTTCATTGCTAGGCCCTATTGGAAAACTGCATCCTCACTTTAATATAACTGCATCACAATGGGGGTGAGAGAAGAAATATGAAATACCCAAAAAGCAATATAAAATGTTATAAATGGGGTAGATTAATAAAAAGACAGAAAAATATGTCAAAAACAGCTTCAGTTAGAATGGAGTTATTAAAAAGACAAAAAAAATCTTATCTCATTAAAAAGACAAAAAAACCAGATGCTGGCAAAGATATGAAGAAAAAAGAACTCATACACTGTTAGTGGGAGCAGCATATATTAATACAGTCACTGCAGAAAACAGTATGGAGAATTCTTAAAAATAGAATTAAATAGAACTACCATCTATCAAGTAACAATTCCACTTCTGAGTATTTTCAAAAAAAAAAAAAAGAAATTAGTATGTCAAAGAGATAACCTGCACTCACATGTTTACTGCAGCACTATTCACAACAACTAACATATGGAATCAACCTAAGTGTCCATCAATAGATGGATAAAGGATATTATATATATATATATATATATATATACACACATATATATATGTAATGAAATATTATTTGGCCATAAAAAGAATAAAATCATGTCACTTCCAGCAACATAGATAGAACTGGAGGTCGTTATGTTAAGTGAAATGAGCCAGACACAGAAAGACAAATATCACATGCTCTCACTCATATCTGGCAGCTTAAAAAGGTTCATCTTTAGAGAGTATAATGATAGATACCAGAGGTTGGAGGTATTGGGGGATGGATGAAGAGAGCTTAGTTAATGAGGACAAATGACAGTGAGACAGAAGGATTAAGTTCTACTGCTCGATAGCAGAGTAGAATGATATAGTTAACAATAATGTATTGCATATTTCAAAATGGCCAGCAGAGAGGACTTGAAATGTTCCCAACATACAGACATAATAAATACACAAGATGATGGATGCCAAATACCCTGATTTGACATAGTCTATATAACAAAATATCACATGTACCCTATAAATATGTGCAAATATCAATTTTTTAAAAAAGAAAAATATTGCCAAAAACAAAGACAGTCTGTAAAATCTGCCATTTTTCTCCCCAAAATTATCAATATCATTTCACATTTGCATCATATATGTGCTATGCATACATCTACCATAACTCATGCTTTGATATGTAAATACATGAGTGTCAACAGACAATCCCCCTTTCACTTTGAGCAAAACCTAATATATAGAAATCTAAATGAATGAAAAGACTGTTTACATTGCAGATTAATTCTTTACTTTCAAAGAATAAGATCTTTCAGGAAAAACTGTATTTATCTATTCTCTTTGAGGAATTTACTTACTGTGTAAAATGAGCCTTAGAAATTATCAAGTAGGTGTCCTTCTCATCTTATTTTAAGAACCTATATCTCCATATGTATTAGAGCTTAGTCTTTGTAGATTAGCAAAGTAGATCTGCTATAGGGTTTGGAGGACATTCTCTTTAAGAGCAAGAAACAATTCAAACAAATAAAAAGAATTTATCTTCTCTTGTATACTGATTTTTTAAAAAACCCTTGCAAGCAGACACCTTATCTTGAATTTATCTTTGGATTTCCAATGTCTAGCACGGTCCTAGCAAACTGTGAGTGCTGAGTGTGAAATTGATGAGTCAAGTTTCACTCCCTCTCTGAACTCTGCCAGGATGTGAGATCATTAGGACACTCTGTGCTATGGATGACAATTGGCAGTGACTGAAACAGGCAGAAGAGCAGAGCTAGGCATAAGAAAAGAGGAAACCTCCATGGTGGGGTTGGGGGACGGGCAAGGATTTACAGAGGAAAAAATATTACATCAAGGTAACAGTTACAAGATTCTTATTACAAGATTATTTCATTGGCTCCTCATCATTCCCCTGCGAAGTGAGAGATTATTTAATATATAAACTCCTTGATTCACACAGAAAAGAAGAAAATGCAACACTAATTTTACTGTAATGTGTTATATGCTGCTTAAAGAGAAAAATCACAATCAGTTTAACTTTTTCCACAAGTAGAGTGAAGGTTATATGTATTATGTAATCAGAGAAACCTCTAGGTTAATCTTCACGAACTGAATGTACCATTGCTTCCCAAATGGCTTTTTCCCCCTAAAAATGAAATTTAAGTTGCAAGACAGCACATCCCAACTACTGTATAATCCACACAGTGAAAATCCACTCCCCCACCCCCCCATCTCAACAAGGACTGGATTTACTCGGTTGAATGTTGCGTCAGACACTTAACCTCTGGCAAACTTACCCTAAAAGTCTCCACCACCTCTTTGGATCCTCCTTCTCTGGTACATTCTGCGGAGCATCCGTTACTGCAGTCCTTAAAAAAGAATCAAACCACCATTAAGCAAATACAGACGGGGAAGTGGGGTGTAGGGTCATCAACAGGACTCACCATCACACCGTGTGCTCTGCTCCGGGACCCAAGCAAATAGAGAAAGGAGGATCAGTCAACTAAACACCCCAGGCACGAGCCTCCAACAAGGGCGTCCTGGCAGCGCCGCCCTTCGCGTCCCACCCCGCCAGCCGGCGGCTGTTTTTGTCCTTCTCCGCTGGCTTCGGGAAGACTGGTGAGATTCCAGGTCAGCCCTCCACAGCCAGGGTTCACCAGCAAAGAACAACAAGGCAATTGTCCCCCTTATATCCCAGTAAATAGTCTAGACTAAGGTTTTAAGCCATTTATAGGAAAATCTCCCGGGCGCGCTCAGCCTCGTGGTCTTGTCAATCACAGGCGCACAATAGCCAGCCAGCAAAAGGGATGGGGAGGGGCATGAACCATTTTCTCCACCCGCAAGGTCCTCCCGCGCGGAGCATCAGCACCAAACCCCATACCTTAAGGACAAAACCTCACGGTATTAGGGGGCAGTTTAAAAGATAAAGACACAGGGAAGCGGGGCTCCTTGGGGGAAAGGTGTAGACATTTTTTAAAACCCTAATCTAAATAACTACGGAGGGCGGGGTGGGGGAAAGGATCCAAGGAAGCAGAAGGCTGCGGTCTAAATATTTTGGGGTGGCGAGGGCACGCCGGATGTGGCTGTGTTCTGGCAGCCCCGAGATTCCGCTCCCGCCCCCCCCCCCAGCGACTCCATGACCACCCTCACGTCCCGCGTGGCGATCCTCGCCGCGCTCCGAGCAGGTCACCCATTGGGCGTTGGACCTGGTCAGCGGGGGCCTCGCCGAGGCGGGTTTCGCAGACTGGGACTCCAGATTTCGGGCAGGGATGCGGAAGAGGAGCCGCCTTGTTAGAGGCGGAGCGGGACGGCAGGCGAAGGAGGAAGGTGCAGGAATCCGCAGCCATGCGCCGGGCCAGACCCGCTGGCTTCGGAGGCAGTGGTTCCAATC